AGCAGCAGCAGCAGCAGCAGCAGCAGCAGCAGCAGCAGCAGCAGCAGAAGCAGCAGCAGCAGCAGAAGCAGAAGCAGCAGCAAGCATTTTGTCATCATGGCAACCTATGACAAGAACGGTGAGAGGGCTTGCGATACGGGTAGAGATCTAGAGATCTCGGATGATCATGCCTACCAGCCAATAGCCGACCGTACAGACGGGTCCTGAGTCTGCCATGCCTGGTTCAACTTTTGTGCTCTCAATCAAATGTATAAAGGTTGAGATTTTCCCCGTGCCACCTCGAGAGCTTCCGTTCCCCCCCTTCGCCCACCGCTCTTTGGTGTGCTGCAACCTACTCCTCGTCAACACACCTACGCTTACAGCAGCAGCCGAACCTAAATTCGCGTTTCGCAACTGATCATATGTGTTCCGCCCACCGTTCCCTTCACACACACACCTCATCGGAGACTATGTAGCGTTCATCGCCGCGTGAGTAAAAGTTGTTGTGTCCCCCCGACAGCATTACTCCATTGCTGCTTGTTTCTGTGTGCGTGTCATACTGCAGTATTACCTCCCTCCTTGGGCGTCGAAACAAGTACATGCACTATGCGTGGGGAAGTTGAAGAATTCCGTGTTTTGCAGCGGCGAGATGAAAAAGGCTTGCTCTTTCATACCAGCAGAACATTAGTCGCCAGATGTATGCATACATGTGCCAGAGGGTGGCAGGTTGCTCGTGTGGGAAAGGGGTACAGATGGCTGAGAGAGGAGAGAGGGGAGAGGGGGGAGAACGAACTCGCGCTCTTACTACCACACCCGCTCTCGCATATATATACATATACAAGGGGCTCCGCGGCGGGTGCGCTGATGCGCCCCGCCGCTCCGCTTTAGGCTGAATGCGATGTCAAGTGTGCGAGCGGAGAAGAGATGACGGAGGCGTTTGTTTTGTGGAGTTGGTGCGTGGAGTTGGTATGCATGCGTAGAATACTTTTGTTATTGAATTGAAAGTAGGAAAGGCCGCACGCAACGCTCTGTACGAAGGTAAGAGAAACTCTCCGCGTACGACATTGAATAACTCTACTGAATTCTATGTAGTCTACAGCAGTCGACACTCACAGAAAAATCACCCAAGAGGGAAGACGCAAAAATGGGCTACCAGAAGTGGGCAATTGTATGCAGGAATTTGCCGATTGTGGTCGATCTCCAGTCTACCCAATAAGGCACTCAGAAAGAAAAATCACCCAAGAAGAAGTCGGCAATTGTACGCAGTATTTGCCGGCGGGTACCTCTTACTTACATATGAAAACACCCAGAGAAGTCCGCAATGGTATGCAGGAATGTGCCGGTGGGAAACCTTTTCTCTAGTCTATGAGACTCTACGGTGGGAACTCTATAAGAACACTACTTATCAGGCATGTCCACACTGAAAGGAGGAAAGAAAGGCACGAGGCTAGTCTTGCTCCGTACGAAACGAAAGCCATCATTGGTCTTGGACGTAGCGGTCGAAATGTGACTCCGCGAGTTGTGCATCCTCCACAGGAAATGGAGCAATCTCGCCGTCAGAGATTAAGTGTTGCCAAGCAGAGTCGGTCATGGTGCTTGTGAGACCTGTTGTGATGAAGGAAATTGATGAACAGGAGGAGCAAGTATGCAGGAGGAGTAGTGATGAGATGATTGGTTGTACAGAAGATGAATTGCAGATGGATCAGCATGAGTAGGATCCGGAAGAGAGTGGAGGGTGAAGAAAGTGGTTATGGGAATGTTGTATCTGCGTTTGGCAGCATATATCTCCGGTTCGCCGAGAAACGCTCTAGGATGTGACATAATGTCGAGGTAATTGTCGTATGAGAAGTACTGACGAGGACTTTCTCCGAGGATGTTGAGGTGCTCCGAATTTATTCCTGGTGAGATCGCATTTTGAAGGTTGGGATCGTTTCGGTTGTGGCGCATGTATTGAATAACTTCTGATCGGACTTGGGCGTGTCTGTTAGGATCGTGGTATACGAGCCTTGAAATACCGCGGAAACCGCAGGCGCCGTCACCAATTTCGCTGACAACAGACCATGTGTTTTGTGGAGGGGGTGGAAGATTGGGGGGTGAAGGTTGAGATGAACCGGGGTTGGTAGGAGGAATGGCAGGCGGAGGTGAATACGGGGAAGATGTTCGACCGGTGGCGGCTTCTGTGAAGGGATCGTAGACGCAGTTTTGAACGTGTGGGATGGAGTTCATGACATGGTCGTGAGGCAGAAGGATCATAACGGATTGTCGGTTTTTGGCTCTACTAAGAGCAACATAGAGTTGCCCATGAGCGAAGCAATCGGAACGTAGGTCAAGACCAATGCGAGACAAAGTTTGACCCTGGCTTTTGTTTATTGTTAACGAATATGCTATTCTCAATGGGAACTGGACACGGTTAAATGTAATGCCATTCCTTCCTACTTGAGCGTGGAACGAAATTCTAGGAATGAGAAGGATGGTGTTGTTGTCATCCACAAGTTGTACTCGGACAACACGAGAGTTTGGGGCGACGCCACGAACGACGACCTTTTGCCCGTTGACGAGGCCCTCGGAGAAATTTAAATTTCGGATTAACATGGCTAGAGCATCAGATTTCAAATCTAGTTGATGAGGAGGAACGCCGGGTACATCAATGCTATTTAGGTTTTCTGTTGAGCAAAAAGCGGTGGAAGATGCGTTGTTGTTATGATCTTTTATGACTGTGTCAGAACTGTAGAAAGATACGCAGTTGCCTGTGCGCCTGGAACATATTTCGGCGTTGCATGCGTCGATGGAAGTGTTGGTAGTCGCCAGAATGGCGCGGTCGTCCAGGCGACTTGCGTCTTCGTGAATGTTAGGATAAACGAAGTTGACCAAATCGTTGAAATTGGTGGTGTGTTGCAGAGAGAAGTGGTCTGTTGTGGTTGTGTCATGTGTGTTGGATAGCGGGACGAGCCTTGCGCCATCGTCGAAAGTGTTTGTTGGATGGGTGTTTTCGCCGATTGATCGGACGAACGAAGCGTAGGCAGGGTCCTCCTTGTCCCGTTGGGATATTGTTAGTCGCATACGTTTTGTTTTTGGCCATAGGTCGCTTGAAATGAAGGATGCTTCCACAGTATCAGCGGCTGAACCGAAGGGCACGACAGGGCCACACTGGCGCCAGTCGCCTGAGAAGCATATAGTAACGCCACCGTATAAGGTCTGGGAGTGTCTGATGTCTCGTAAGGTGCGTTCGAGAGCCTCGATACAGTAGCGGTGCGTCATGGGGAGCTCGTCAAAAATGATCAGGTCGCATTTTCGAATGAGTTCGGCGCGCTGAGACTCGTTCTTTATGTTGCAGAAGGCTCCATTTATTACTTGCTCATTGAGGGGGAGTTTAAACATTGAGTGAGCGGTCCAGCCGCCGGGAAGTTGCAGAGCTGCGATTCCAGTGGAAGCGACAATTAGAACAGTGAAACCTTCTCCTCTTAAACGAGCAGCGATAACCTTCTCGGTATAAGTCTTGCCCGTTCCAGCTGGGGCGTCAATCATGAATGGCTGCGGTTGTTTGTTCCGAACAGCGTCAATTATGGTGTTGTAGACGTCTCTTTGCTCCGATGTTAAACCCGGCTCGAATCTGTCAGCGTAAGCTGTTTGTTGGGAGGGGTTAAAAGAAGCTACCATGCGTTGGTATTCTGTTTGTCGATGGGATGGTTCGGGGAGGCCGAGTTGTGTGTTCGTCTTGCCGTGGTGCTGCAACTTTAAATCGATGACACGTAATGCCTCTTGGCAAGCGTCGGTATTGTCTAGTGTGCGCGTGAAGTCCTCGATAAGGTGGTCTTTGTAGTCATTCCACAACTTAGGAGCGGGGCCACCGTCCAAAATAAGAGTAACAAAAAGACCGCGTAGTTGAGAGGGCATCTCGAAAGTGATGGCTTCTTCCATGCATATGAAATACTCTTCCTGGCCAGTTACTAGCCCTTGGGCTCTGGCGGCATCTTGAAATGTGACGTGCACGGTGCGGGCACCAGACGGAGGAGTAACTGTCCGCAAATCGACGTACGATCTACCACAGTTTTTGTGCAGGAGGAGTCGGAGGTAATACAGGTCGCCTACGGCGGGAGATTGAAACTTGATGCGACAGACATGCGACTTCCGTCGTTGAGAGACGGTGTTGCCGTAGGAATCTAACCATTTACCTGGTGCGGCGGAAGTCGGCATAGGATCGTCTTTTTTCTTTTTAGTGACGGTGTACAACTCGTAGTAGTCAAGCAGGGTTAGGTTATCGAAGAGGTCGTCGAGCGGGCGTTTGAAGTATCTCATGAGGTCGGACACAGCGTCTTCTGCGCACTGACGACGTACTTCGTCGGTAGCATTGGATGGGTACATGACGTTGTTTTCCCCTTCTAGATGAGCGTGAATACTGGTGACTGCAGGATCACGAGACAATGTTTCATACCCGAGCATGTTCCAGGTCGCTTCAGCGGCGGACACATATCTTGTTTTTCTGTACTGTTCAATTTCGCTGGTGATACCGGCAACGCGAGCCCTCGAAAGATCAGCTCCTTTCGTGATGTATTTATAAACGTACTTGACCGCGCAAGACCCAGTAACGACGTCAGTGCAGATGTGGCAGTTATAGCGGAGCAAAAGGTATGGGTTGTAAGGGACAACCCACTCGTTTCCAATTTCGACATCTGCCCATTTACCGTCAACTCGTTGACGGATAGTGGGGCGGTCACCGTTATCGATTCTTTTGTACTCAGCGCGACCTGTTTTTTCGTTGACTGCAGCTGTCGACCGAAAGGGCTGTGGGAAATGTTTGTTGCAGTATGATTTTTTGGTAGTCTTATTGGTGGTCATACAAACGGCGTTTATATTTCGATGTCCGCATGGCCTGTGGATCATGTGCTTTAAGACTGCTTCGCGTAGACGGCCGCGTGCGATATCAGGAGAAGGCAGTTGTGCCCATACCCATGAGTCCATGTTGGTAAAAGCATCATCGTTTTTGAAGCGGCAGATGCAGTGACAGTGGGGGTAGCCGCGACTTTGGTACTCTATGGTGTAAAAATAATAATCAAGCTCGGAGAACACATCCCCTGATTTGAGATCAGCGATTATCTGCGCAAGTTTATGCTTGAAAACTCTGCAGCAGAGGTCTGGACGATCTGCAGCGGTTTGGCCAGGCAATAGATTCGCAACAATTTCAGGCCACTCGGGGTTGCATGTGATAGTTATGAACAGTTGAGGACGACCTCGGCGACTAACAATGCTAAGGGCATCTTCGGTATCTGATTTGCGTTTCAAAGGCGATCCGTGGAATGTTGCAGGTAGTAACTTACCAGGTTGGTTATCCCCTGTGGACTCGGTGATAGACCTCTTACTGGCAAGTCGAAGCTTATTTTGCAAATCATCAGACTCGAAATACGTTAGCTTATTCTCTTCAAAACGCGAAAACATGTCGCAACACCACTCCTGGGCAATTCGGCTGTTACGTTGAAAGATTGGTTCAGATAGGAGACGTTGTCGACAATATGATAAGAAGGGGACATGCTTGGTGCCGGCTCGGTTCATGGTTTTAGACTTGTTGCGAGGTGTTTCGCTGTAATGTCCCTTGCTCCAGCCGCTTTCGCCATTGTTAAATAAACACGGGAATTGTAAGGGTTCGTAGCAAGGAGAATAGAGAGGTAAAAAACGAGGCTGATTGTCAGGACTGTTCCTTGGGTAGGTAATAATGGGTTGAGTAGATGAGCATTGGCTTTTGGAGGGATACAATATTGCCGCGATTTCAGGAGCTTGAGGTGCGCCAAGCACGTGGCCATCGTCAACTCTGCTTGCTTCCGCGAACTCTATCACAGCAGGCTCTGAGGGAATCGTGTTACTTCGTAGTACCTCGTCTACAGCACTCTTGTATTGTACAACCCACGGGAGACTGCTATGGAAGTAGGATCGCAACGACGCTGCCGTGTCTTGGTTTACATGAAGGGCTCGAGACTGCAAGTTAAAGTCTGAGTCATAAATGTAATAGCGGGAGGAATTTGCGACATTCATGCCTGCGTAGTGTTGCTGCAAATCAAAAATACGATGGTACGCTCTCCCATGCATAGTCAACATTGAACTGCCGCTGGGGTTGCACCATGTTTGTTTACGTAGTCCATTCGCGGCGAGAGCAGTGAAAGAGAAAAGACTGTTGTATTTTCGTTGGTTGCGGCTGAAGTGTGAAGTGTTGTAAATATCCCACACGTTGGCAGGAACATTTTTCAACTTGTGTATCGCAGTTTCACCGTTACTGCAGCAACTGAATCGTCTAGCTCTTTCCTCTTTCCACAGCATAGATTCACAATGAGGACACACATAGTTGCGTTCGTCTTCTAGGTCGTTGTATGCAAAGGTTATAACTACTTCTTCGTCTATTGGTGAGTTGAATTGGCGAACTCCTTTGAAAACAGGACTCTGATGAAAAGGGGTGGAATGTCTAGGAGAGCGCATACGGGCGAAGTGGTTACGTACTATTGCAGACGCTACATCATGAGAGAAGGTACTGCTGCGGCTACGTCTGCGTTGATTGAGGATTGCTCGTCGGGCTGCGCGCCGTCGTGTGGCGTCATGAGTACGGTTTTGTTGATGGTACGTGTCAGATGCAGATTCAGTACGTGCAGCGCGTGTTTGTGACCGAGTCACACGGTGTAAATCACTTGCAGGAATTCTGCTGGCCATATGATATTAGTGGCAGTAAGAGGAGCTAAATGCTCGTAATGGCTGGCAAGGCCGAAGGTTCACCAAAAAACGAAGATCACAAGTCAGTGCGCACCGTTCAGAAGTCTTCGAAGTCGGCAGGGACCTCCACGGACGGGGCCTTGGCCTCGTCCTCGGCGTTGGTGCCGGAGTCCTTGCGGTACTTCTTGGCGGCGAGGATTTCTTTCACCTGTGCGTTTGTCATGTCGGTGCGAGAGAGGGGAAAGACAGAGAGCAAAAAGGCAAATGCCGTCAAGAATACGCGAGGGAGAAATGAAAGCAGCGGTCAAATGGGGAAAACAGAAATAGTGCAGAATATTGTCGTGTGAACGAAAAAATACTAAAATGATAAGAATCATACAAAAGTCGTAAAGGAAACCAGATAGCAGGGGATAGAAGGTCCAAGAAAAATACCGACACTGTAATGGCGCGACACTCGGAAAACAACGGGGAAAAAAGGAAAAACAATACATTTGACGCACCAGGGAGGTATGCTTCCGTTTCGCGCAGCGGGCGTGGAGACCCTGAGGGGGGTCTTTGAGGGCCCAGGACCTGATGATGATGTCCCCCGCGTTAATGTTACCCGTGCAGCCGAGCTTGAGGTCGTCGCAAGGCGTTGTCGGGTCGTAGGCCTTGCAGGTGGTCTGGTTGGGACGTACAACAACAGGCAGGTTGAAGCAGAAACAAAGCATGGAATCTAGATAAACTGACCGAATTGTGCAACACAAAAAGGCTCACCCCGATAATGATGTAGGCGAGTATAGCAGGAAGTTGTAGCAGCAGTAGATATAAGATGGTTGAAACGACAGCATGGAAGGCACAGGCGACAATTAATTGTAAACGAGGAAATCTCATAAGAACTCACCCTAGAGATACATTCAATGAAACTGGCAGGCAGGCGTATTGCAAATTAGAAACACCCACCCCGACGACGGCGCCGGTGGCGGCGGTGCAGTGGACCAGCAGGGACTTTCCGGAGACAGGATCTTCGGTCTGCTTGCCCCAGCAGTGGGGAAAGAACACGTGCGTGTTCTCGAAGACTGATGCGCATGGCAGACGGGGAAGAAAGTGATGGTGCAAAACAAAAATCGGGAACGTCATGCAATACGAGACTGGTGTGAAGAGGCAGGATACGAAAACACCGGCAGCACTTCGGCAACTACGCTATTCCCGAGGATACAGCAGACTGGATGTAGCAAAAAGAAACGCAATAGATTCTCGAAGGACGCAACGAATGAGCGCGCAGTGCGTCCATGGAAGAATAGTTGCAGCGAAATACACAGGGAGGGCCCGACTCGAGGGTATAAACAAACGGCAACACACGAGGGTAAAAAAAAAAAAAGTAGAGAGAAGATGCAAACAAAAAACACTCACTCACCCGGCTTTCCCGTCAGGGGGTTCTTCTCGCCGGTCGGCTCGCCGATGGACGGGGTGAACTCCGCTGGCACGTCGCAGATCTGGCAGGCGATCTTCGACTTGTCTCCTTCCTTGACGCGGTCCCGACCGAAGAGGTTGGCTGAAAAATGACAGGAGTCCGGGTCGTTCTGGACGTTGCCAGAGCACACGATCCAGGGGCGGCCGGTCTTCGTGTACTTCTTGAGGAGAACCTTCTGGTCCAGGGGGCAGACGAGCCCGGGGTAGACCTCTCCAACAGTCTTGAAACCGCCAGAACCAGCACCGTCAGAGGTCTGTTCGGGCTTGGCTTTCTTGGCAGGGGAGTTGTCTTTGAAGAATCGAGACATGCCCTTGTCGTTTCCGAGATGGAGGAGGAGGTGGTTGGATGTGGCGGGAGAGCGGGGGCACGAACAAATCGAGCTGGCGGGGGGTTTCTGACAAAAACAACCCGCAATTTCGCCGTTTCTCCACCGCCAAATTAGCGGGAAAGGCCGTGGTTGAAGTATCCCATGTTCTACAGCTAGCTGTGTAGCTGGCGGATGTAGTCAGCGCGTGTGTGTGTTGTGTAGTAAAACGATTACAGTAGTAGCAAAAGTAGGAAAAGTTTTCCCGAAAAAGAGAGCCAGCGAAAGAAGAGCCAGCAAAGCTTACCCACAACAAAGAGAAAAGAAGGATGCGCGCATTCCCGGCAACGCCGACAGCGCTCTGGAGACTACGCCTGTACCCTGCCGATGTTCTGCTGCTACTGTATGTACTGTACTGGACGGGAGGTCGTGGTTGAAGGGTGCAATGTTGATGTGCCACGTCTGCTGTGGAGTAGACTGAAAAGAGCCAGCACGTACGGACAAAATGCAACCAACCTCGGTGGAGGCCACCAGACAGGTTGACTACCGAGTTTTCCAATTATTTGCATTTATTTGCGGTTGCGCACCTGACAACCCCGACAGCACACCACTGCCGTACCCCGATAGAGCAGACAGACTGGTCTACGTCACATGTTCGAAAGACACGGTACACCACCAGCAGTCTGCTGCTGTGTCCAACAGCTCTCGGACAGCAGTTTCCCGGAAAAAAGAGAGAGCCAGCAAGATTTTTGTAGTTTCCTCTCTTCTTGTTGGCGAATTAGCGGGTGGGTGCACCTGGAATATCCCGACACCCCGACAGCATTCGCGAAACTGCTGCGTACCCCGAGAGCACTACACACAACTTTTTTTGTTCGGGTGTGGTCCTTGTCAGTGTGTATCTTCTCCTCTTCATAAACCCTCTTGCGTCGTGGGTTGCCTGTGTGTGTACACAGCAGGAGAGCCAAAAAAATCGGTGAACGCACGCCGCCGAACGCTGCGAAGCGTGACGTCACAGAACCGGTCGCAGCGCGAGTTTGCACCCTTTGCTACCGCGACGCCGCGGCCGCCCCGATCGCGAGCCGCACGCTGGCAAGGTCCTCGCGTCTCAGGGCTATCGCTGCACGCGAGTCCCACACCGAGACGAGGTCTAGGAGCAGAGCGATCGCGAAAAAAGAGCTCTCGAGCGCGGAGGGCAGAGAACCAAAGTATGAAAGTATATATGTTTATTAGAAGGCCTACAAGGACAAGCTTGCGGAAAATAACACACCACAACGCAAGCACAACGCACAAATTGTGTGTGTGATGGTAGAAGGGATTTCTTTGGCCACCGCAGAACAAGACCCGACTCCGAAACCATTTGGCTCTGCACACCGCCGTAGGCCTGACTGCTGAAACATAGATGAAAGACGAAAGCAGCAACGGTGATGCAGTAACAGCGAAAGAGGACGCCTCCAACGGCATAGACTAGAGATTGTCATACGTAGGTTGTCCCAGGTTGGCTTTCATAGAGTTTTTGGCTTGTGCTTCGAAGTGGTCGAGCGGTCAGTCAGCGTCGGCATGGATTTTGCTGCACGCGTCTCGCGAGGGGCCAAAATGAACAGTCCCAAACTTCGCAAAAGGTACTAAATGTTACAGCAGTAGAACAAGGTATTCTGTGCGCGACTATTTCACTATGTCCTGCTAGATGGATAAAATCCCCGCAGTTAATTTCCTGCATGCGGAGGTGGAGCCCACGAAGCCTAGATCGAACATACCGTTGGTGACGTAAGATATCACACCTCCTGGCCCGAATTTTCATAGCTCCATTACTCCACGACGAAGAGGATGTATACATCAAACCATTATGTTTTTCGGAAAGCTCTCGACGAGACGGTTTCCAACGCCGCCGTGTTCGGCACCGCCTCTCTCCGCTGCCGTGGAGTAATCGAGCCTTGAAAACCGGTCCACGGGGTGTGATATGTTTCTAGAAAGTAAACACTTGGCTTATTTTGAGTTTGTCTAAGCCAAACACTGAGTTATCAGTGATGCCAGTTGGAGCTTAGAACAAAGGCATCTGTATAGGCGGATACATTCTTAATTTTATGTGGAATGTGGTTCACAGGGAACATGGCGCAGTGTCGTTTGACAACTCAGCTGTTTTTGATATCTTTCTTGTCACCTACGGCGGTAGATACCTGCGGCAGGCGGGGGGGCGCTTGAACTTGAGGACGCCATCAGCCCCTCCGTTCGTTTTGCGGCCTTGCCACAGCAGCAGTATTGACACCTACAGTATATGCACTGCTGTAGTTGCATACATACTCCGATCTCGCTAGACGGGTGTCATCAGAGACTTGCTGCCTGCCGATATCCTTTAGGCGGAATTTGGCGGAATGAGAAGATTGCTCTAGCGGGACTCAGGACTTAGGGCTACGCAACAATGGTGCTTTTTGTGCTCTAACGATATTTGGGGGGGGGGGTGCAAGGCTCCCTCCGCAACGCACGTCGACACGTGGTGTCCTTTGAATCTCGGGTGATGAAAAAACTCTTCCCAGCCTTCTTTGTTCGCTGGTATGCATACATGAGCTTGACTTGCCAGCCACGTTTGGAGGTATGCATACAAACCGTATGTTGCGTGAGATATCACACCCCCTGGACCGATTTTCAAAGCTCGATTGCAGAACCGGAGGGAAGAAACGTCAAAATCGGGTCGAGCCTCAAAATTCTTATTTTCGCCCGGAGGACCAGCCGAAGTCGGCCAATTTGTTTAAACGGAGTTCTTAATTCCTTGGGGCTGTCGCATCATTCTGCTGCTCTTATGCTGCTTATTCTTGTTTCTGGCGAAGAAACCAACAACACAGAAGCCGTTTCATGCAGAGTTTTCAATCGACACCTCGGTGGTGGCGAGCATTGATTGGGATTGTCTCTCTCCTAAACTTCTTGACATCCGTGATTTGTGGCAGTACAGCAGTACAACAGCATTTGGGTACCGCAGCCCGCGGCGGCCCGGGGGGCGGGGGGCGACCCGAAATAACCACTCTGACCTCTCCCTCCCTACCAACGATTCACATGATGAGCTAGCAGCATAGGTAGTGGTGGGAGCTGTCAGCACCATGGGAGGACTCTTGTTGGACACACTTCCTCAGCTATCCGTTGTCTCTTTTGTCTCGGGGTATCGCACGATCATGTTTCTTATTGGGACGTTTCTTATGTCGTGGCCGAGAATGAGCTGAGTTTCTTAGCTCTTTTTTCTTTTTTGTTGGCAAACATTTGAGCTTATTCTCTCAACAGAATTTTTCTCAACTGCGGGCCTGTTCTGTACTCCACGATCAGTAGGATGCCGAAATTTACGTACACGTTTTCGCAAAGATCTCGTCGAGACGGTTCCAACGCCGCCATTGTCAGCACCGCCACTGCTTTTCCTGCCGAGATATCGAGCTTCGGAAATTGGTCCAGGGGATGTGATATCTGATGCAACGTACGGTACTTCTATCTTGCCGACTTTGTGAGAATTTCAGCAGCTTTCCTGGGACCAGTCCTGGATGCACAAACGCCCCAGAGCTTTTCAGGACGTAATCCATGCAAACACGGAAAGACTTCATTGTACCCGTTCGACATATTACCACACAGTCCGAGGGGATGTATAAAAAAAGTCTTACGCAGTGAGAGTAGAGTAGAAGAAAAAATACCCGCTGGATTATATAGTAGATGTTTTTGAACATGAGCTTATACTTGCCACATTCTTAGAAGGAAAGTTATGGAAAATTAGGCAGCGTTCCTGGGTGTGCAAGTGATGTCGCTTGAACATTTCTTGAACTGCCTTGTCCTGCCATATTTTTGTTTTATGTTCGACGCAATTTTTCGGCTCCCTGCTGTCTCTTCGCGTTTGTTTCGGCTTGAAGCTTCTGCCGGCCTTCTTGTTCCATCCTCGTATATTTTTTCAATCGCTCGATCCTTGTTTCGGTCTTATCTTCCCCATGGTCGTTGGTTCCCTAATCGAAGAGGCTCCGATCCGGGAAATGCAGAGGAAATGCTCGTGACATTTTTTGTTGCAGGACTGCGCACGTACGTGCGATTCCTCATCATAGTCTCTGCCCAACACTGGCCGACGAGGTCGCGTTGCCACCAACTCCAAACAACAAACACCCTCCCGGCTCCCTTTTCCATGAGGACACAAGTCCGTCACAAGAGTGCCCCGCCCGCCCACGGTGTGAGATCGTCGCCTCTTTCTCTGTCCCCCTTTTTTTTTGCTCGTAAGCACAACGAATTGCATCTGTGCTACAGCAACCCTACCCTCTACATACCACGAACCCAAGCATTGCTACCGGAACGGTACTCATGCTTTCCAGGCCAATGGTCTCAGGCGTTTCCCGCGGGAGGGGGGGGAGGAGGGCGTACTCTTATGTTTTGCATGCCTTAGCGGTTAGACCATTGACCACGCGTCCTCGAGAGGACGGAGCATTGTTCCCACAGGACCGATCACCGATGGCCAATCGTTCCTTTCTACTTTGCCAAAGTGGCTCAAAAATGTCTTCCCTAGTCTGTCTATCCTAACGATATCCCTTCCCGCCTTTTCAACCCACCTCCTATGCCCCAGTACAGCTACCGTCCTTTCCTCTCTATTCCATGCCTCAAACATCTCCCTGTACGTTCCATCTATTTTTCCCAGCTCAGTCACGTACACTTCCCTCTCCTTCTTGTAC